CCCCCCCCCCCCCCCCCGCTACGTACGATGCTCAGATCCTGTGTATTGTAACTCATCACAGACATGGAGGCAAGTTTCAATCTCGTACCCAGAGCAATGCCTGTGCGCGGGCTAGGATGGCATTGGGCTCTGGGGAAATTGAATTTTTCCTGTGCTGTGATTGGTTTAACGCTTATCAATCGTGCATGCCGACAAAGAACCGGAACCCCTAAATTTAGGGGTTCCGGTTGTCAATTTCCCCAGAGCCAATGCCATCCTAGCCCGCGCACAGGCATTGCTCTGGGTACGAGATTGGGCAAGTTTTGGCGTAAAGACCAAAAAGTAATCTCTATATTTCTCACACTCAAGTCTAATATTTCTTTGTTTATTTCAACGCTAGGACTAATGCATCCAAGCTCTCCGTTTGGTAGGCCTCCGGTTCTTATTTCTCGAAGCGGTACATCGAACACAACAATGACGTCATCAGCATCCGCATTCTCTTCAGTCTCCTCGCCGCTCTTGGCCGCGCGACGTGCAGGCAGTCCAGTTGCCATATCTCGTGCTTCGTCGGAAACCCACGGTAAGCGTTCGCCGAGTTCCGGTCCGTCTGCGCTCTATCCGTGGCTGAAATCGGAACCGAAAACTCCCGAGTTAGATTTGGAAAAAAACAGGGACCATTCCAAACGGGAATTCCAAACCAAGTCTCCCGCGCGGCCAACTAACTTTAATATCCAGACTCTTGCTGGTGACCGCGCAGAAATTCGTCCAGGTCTGCTTGGAGACTCGATTCGGACCCACTCCTCCAGGGAACATCGAGCGTGTGAAGCGAGATCGTTTCTGGATAACCCGCTTGTCCCGAGTTTAGGGAGTTTGGATAAACGGCCTATAGACTATCGCCCGAGCGCAGGTTCGATTGATCTGAATCGAAATTCTCTCTACCCGCGATTTGAACCAATGCCCACACTGTATTCACATCACGTGACACCTCTTTCGCAACATATAGCAGGCTACCCTTATCCCGGTTCATCCTTTCTTGCGGACTATCACTCGGCACCCGTGCACCCTATGGTCCTAGGAACCCGGGACTCTATGACGTCATTGGTTCGGACACCCGATACGCCTTTCTACATCAGACATGATTTAGATGATCGTTTCGGTGGGAGACACTGATCTCAAAGTAAGAAAATAAGTTTGTAGTGTATAGTTTGTCTGATTTAAATTAATGTTAATTTGAAAAATTAGTTGAGATTGTGTTAATTGTGTTAAAATATTGTAGTGTAGAGAATTTGTGTAAAGAGATTTATAGCGCATATATAATTATGGGAAAGTTTCAGAATGTTGCAAGCATTGACATATGTATATCTGGACAGCTTGCTGTGATACTTTTGACTGAAGGCTTGCGTGGCAAATTGAAGCTGACGAATATGAGAGTAACTGCTAATGGGAAACAGCGCTGACTTAGGAAAAACACTGAAGTAAAACAGTACTGCTGGCACATAGCAAAATATTTTCCGTGCAAAATTTGGACTTTTGGCAAAACTGTTTGAAAATTTCAAAATGTATTTTCAAAACAAAATGTATTCGGTAAAAAAACAATATGTGATATAAATTTAATCCTTTCGTTTTTGTAAAAGTATAAAATATGTACATATTTGATATATAATCCATGAGCAATCACTCTCATATTTCCGCCATCTTGTGACCACGCTTTTTCAGGCCGAGCAAGCAGTTCATATATTATATATATATTATATATAAGGTTGCGAGAGACTTAATCTGCGTGTGTTCCTATTGCCACCCACCAAATGCTTACATTGTCAGAACAGTGGTAGCTAGGCATGTGCGTTGTGCCGAGTGCCGATGAAATATGTGTTAGGGGCCGACCATTAGAAAAGTGATTGGGGGATTTTCAGCTTGCACGAATGTTCAGTTTTGACCATCTGCTTGTGCTGGAATATTTTTTCTGGATTTTAATTAAAGGTATTTTTCTTTTGTTTTCCTTTACGCAAATTCCTCTCTCCCCCATCACTTTTCTAATGGTCCACCCTTTGGACGATTAGGTCTATTTGGCCTGAAATATTCCTGTGTGGTTTGACTATGTATTGTATATACGTATTGTATAGAGATATATATTAAACATGACGTGTAAATTAGTTAGTATACTGCAAGAAAAACTAATATTTTGAAACCATTTGGTAAGTTTGCTAGATTTGCGCAAATATTTCCTGTGCTAATTTGCATGGAATGCGAAAAATTCGCGCGCGAAAGACTGGGCCCGCTTCGCGACAGTTCGCGGGAATTTTTTGAGCTTTCGCGGGTGATTCACACAACACTGTTTAAAAATATTTGTAGGAATTTGCTTTTCAAAAGCTTTCGTTTTGCCAGAAAAATGTCAGAAAATGGTATTTTAGAGAATGGAGCGTCTAAAGGACATCACCAAGTTTACCGTGTAGCTCTTACTGGAGGTATATTTATTTAAAGTTAGTTATAAAAGCGAGAAACAAAACCTTGTATCGGCCTGTCGGGCGTTTGTGTACACTATACGAACATCATGTGGAAGTGTTTATAATGTATTACACATGTATAGTATCTTTTGTTCTACAGTAGTTTAGTCTGTAGGAATTTTATTTTAGCTTTTATATAATTTCGGATTCGTTTTGAATTCGAAAGGATGTTTCTGTATTACTGTATATTGAAAATGAAACTGCTGTGAAAAATGATTAATTAAGGTCATGAAATATTCATATAAATAGTGAGCTTAAGCAAGTGACGTTTTTGACAACACGAACGGCATGAGTAACGTCAGAAAACTGGGTCAAGGGCTGTGATTGGTGAAAAACGTCAACTTTACTTCCGATCGACGTCCGTGTTGTCAAAAACGTCACTTGCTTAAGCTCACTATTATGAATATTTCATGACCTTAATTAATCATTTTAGCGTAGAACCAGGGGCCAGTTGTTCAAAGGTGGTTTAGTGCTAACCTAGGGTTAAAATTTAACCCACTGTTTTAGTTTATGTTTATGATTATTTCAAAACTTCAGAGAAGTAAACTCCTATTGATCACATTGAGGGGACAATGGCAGACATTTGGGGCAACCTCCCCCCAGTAATTTCTGAAAACCTTTACCAATAGCTGAATACTGTCACTGTGTAACAAAGTTGTATGTGACGATAATTGTTCAACCACCTGAGCATCGGTAGGCTATAAATTAACCTATATTTGCATATACTCGTCAAGGGGAGAGTGCTACCACTTAAGGTCAGGCTACAAAATTGGTCATAGTTTAAGATTTCTAGGGCATTATGCTACCAAGAACAATGGCTGCTTGTCATACGGGTACATACATGAAATATATTTTCAGGTCCTTGTGCTGGAAAGACTACATCTCAAGCAAGAATATGCACATTTTTTGAAAATCTAGGATGGAAGGTAGTTTCTAGTTCTATGAAGAAATTAACTATAGGGCCATTTATATGAGGGAAAACAAGCTGCTCACAGTTTAAATAAGTTTCAAACATAAATGCACAGTTTTCAAGCCAATTAAGGAGTGGCTTAATTAATCATTTAATGTGTAAACAAGTTGTACATTTATGTATGAATGTTCCGACTAAGTTTGAAAAATACTATATAAATGCTCTTGTTCAGAACTTATTTAAGTCGCAGCTTATTTTCACCAGAAAAAATGGCCCTACTAATATTGGTTTAGAATATGGTATATTTTTCCAGTCTGTTTTGAGATGCATCCGTCTGTATTCTATAGGTGTTTCGTGTGCCAGAAGCTGCCACTGTATTACTTGGGTGAGTTTGATTTTCAACCACAACAATCTGTGTGCAAATACTATTAGGTGATGATTAGTTTGTGAATGGGCAAGGGACATCCAGGTTCATCACCATGACCATTCACCACATCAATGAATCACCACCACCATAATCTTCACTGTCACCACCATCATCACATATCACCAGCATCACATACCACCACCATCGCATACAAATCACCAACATTCTTGCCATCATCAACACCACTGTACCATCATCATCTGACCAATGTACCATCATCATCACTACCATCATCACATATCATCACCACCATCATTACCACCATGACTATTACCACTAATGCCACCATTGCTCATATATCATCACCATCACCACCAACTTCACCATCATTACCACCATCATCTATCATCACCACCACCAACTTCACCATCATTACCACCATCATCTATCATCACCACCACCACCAACTTCACCATCATTACCATCACCACCACCATCATCACCATCATCACCCCCACCATCATCACCAACATTACCACCACTATAATTATCTTCACCATCATCACCACCACCATCATCACCAACTACTACTCCCATTACTGCCACCATCATCACTAGCATGTCATAACCATTATAATACCCACCACCATCTCCCCATTTCTGTCACCACCACCACTATCATCACCAATCATGATCACCACCAACTATGGTCATCACCATCACTGCCACCATCACCATGACACCACCACCACGATCATCATCACCATCACTGCCACCATCATCACCACCAATCATTGTCACCACCATCACCAATCATTGTCACCACCATCATCGCCAACTACGGTCATCATCACCAACTTACCAAAATCACCGTCATTGGCACCATTATTACTACCATGTCATAACCATCATAATCACCATCATCACCGTCTCCATTACACCACCTCTTTCATCACCTTATCATCACTCAAAATATCATTCTATTTCTAGCGGTGGAGTAAAGTTCAAAGATTTATCTCCTGAACAAAGTAAGCATGAAAACCTTTCCTAATTCACTGTAAAATACAGAAATTTGTGAATATAAGCAATGTGTGGAATCAAAAATATATGCCACTCAATCCAGGGGTTTTTTTTGTGAACAAGACCTAACTTTGGTCGTATTTTTAGGCTTTAGATTTCAAGAGAATTTACTGAAAACCATTATCCAACTGGAAAATACATTCTTCGATCTGGCGGAAGCTTGCAATCAAAATTGTTTGGTCATTTGTGATCGTGGAGTTATGGACGCTTCTGCATGTAATGTCTTCTCAAAACTTAGAAAATTGCACCAAGAGAGATATAGTATATTATATTTTTCTCTCCTAACTCGTGGTAGCCTAGCCAGGTCACCATCCTCAGCTACATTGCTCTGCCATATGCCTGTATATTTGTGGAGGTAGCTAATTTATTGGAGATCAAAAACAAGAATGTCCAGTTACATTTTGCGATGCTTCGACCAGTAAATGAATGAATGATTGTTTTATATTTACTTTGTAGTTTTAACTAAAGAACAGTGGCAGACATTACTGAAGAAAAATGACTGGAATAATGTGAAACTACGTGATGAAAGATACAATCAAGTTATCCATCTTGTAAGTTTAGATTGGACACTCCTTATGAATACTGTCATTTCACAGATCTGAATGTAAATTTATCTTCGCGAATTCCAGGTAACAGCAGCGAAAGGGGCAGAAGCATTTTATCAGTTGGGAAATAATAAAACAAGAAGTGAAGGCTTGGCTTTGGCCAGGGATTTGGATGATAAAGCTTGTCAGGTGAGAGCTGTTGCTCAATAACTTCAAGAAAAAGTTGCTTAACTCCTTCGTGCAACTAAAAAATATAGCTACCAAAAACGGATAAGTACGTGCAGTCGCTTCGCTCCATCAGCTTTGCTCCAAAGTCTTTGACAATAACCTCAAGTGGATTACCAATGTATAGCATATTGCAGGAATTGAGCACGGAATCCCCTGATAGTGCCCCTCCTGGTAGTGACCTTTGGCATCTGTATTCACCTTAGGATCAGACCTTCGACGCTTGTTATCTAAATTCTATGTATATAAGAGAAAGTATTATTAAGATTCTCAGTGAACTGAAATACTTTTTTCTGTTAAAATATAGCATGACATCCAGTTTGACAACTTGTATAGTGCCGCACAGTTACAGTGTCCGAGTGTCCATTTACTTGATCATTTGCAGAACATTTTCAATGTTCTCTTGCGGTCCCAGAAAGTAAAATATTTGTCCCCCCACTGCCTACACAACCTTACCAAATAAAATCACCTGGCATTAGCACACACATACGTCTCATTGCGTTCTTAAATGAAAACTATGTCTGTTCTAGGCATGGGTAGGACATCCATATTTTGATGTAATTGGTAACTCCGCTGATTTCAACGATAAACTTTCTCGAATCATTTCAGTAAGTTCATCCACACGTGTTGTACAGAGCATTGGGCTAGTATTCCAAAGGTTCGATTCCCACCGTGGCCAGGCATATTTTTCAAGCCTGCCCGGTGTGGATATACACTCAGAGTAACATCACAAGCATCTTATTCACCTGAGTACATTACACCAACACAAGAAAATATCATGAGTTACGTAAAAATCTCACAACTTGTCAATAAGATGTGTTCGCAACAGGCTTGTAACAAACTTGTCAACAAGTTGTAACAATACTGTTATTTTATCAAGTTGCTACAAGCTTGTCACTCACAACTTGTTGACAAATTGTTGAATTACAGGACGATAACAAGTTGTTGGAACAATTTGTAACAAGTCTGTTGAGCTCAACAACCTTGTAGCAAGTTGTCATCAAGCCGTTGACAACTTATCAACAAGCTGGGAACAAGCAGTGCGAACACATCCTGTTGACAAGTTGTTGGAACAGCATTGCTACAAGTCTGCTGCAGGTTTCTTACAACTCGCACAAGTTGTTACAGGTCTGCAAACAAGTTGTAGTGCCTGGTTTCCATATGGTTGTGATGGTCGTAAAAATAGAATCACGATCTTTCTCAACGGTCAGCTTATAATACACACGCAAGAATATCATATCTTGTAGCAAGTCTGCCAACAAAGCCGTCAACAAGTTGTGTTCGCACTGCTTGTCCCAAGTTGTCAACAAGTATGGAACAAGCTGTTAACAATTTTTAACAACTTTGTCGCAAGGTTGTTCCATTATCAGACTTGTTGCAAGGTTGTTCCAACAAGTCCGATACAGTCATGATATAACAATATTGTTACAAACTTGTGTCGTCAACCTTGTAACATTCTTGTTTATCATGATTGTATCAGACTTGTTAGAACAACCTTGTGACAAGTCTGATAATGCCATCAAGCTTGTTACAAGTTATTAACAGCTTGTTTCAAACTTGTTGCAACAACTGGGAACAAGCAGTGCGAACACAACTTGTCGACAGCTTGTGAACAGATTTGTAACAACTTGTTTGCAGGCTTGTAACAACTTGTGCGTTTTTACGTGTGTACCCGACCAAACTGGAATCAAATGATATCATTGCCTATTTGTTTACAAAACTCTGAGCAAGTCTAAACTATTTTTGCAGGCAGTGTGTGCGAAGGTTGGTATTGATATAAAAGATCGTTTGGACAAGGACAGCAAGAAACGGAAATTCCTGGTTTCCAAACCTCCAAACTTTGCGGTAAGAAACATGGCAACTAAGTTCAGAAAAAAATAAATGATCTCCAATTTCGTATGTCGGTGGCACAACTTGCTTGTGATGTTACTCTGAGTGTATATCCACACCGGGCAAGCTTGAAAAATATGCCTGACCACGTTGGGAATCGAACCTACGACCTTTCCACTCGACAATTTCCATCTACAAGACCCTTCTAATGAACGAGAACAATATATCAAATTCCCAATAGATAGCCGTTGGTTACCTCTGCTATAAAATTGGATTATGTGTGTCAGGGGACTGGAGGGGACCCCCCCCCTCCCCTAGAAGTAGTAGAGCTATCCAGCATAACCAAAGTTTATAACTTTAGGACCTAAATAATCATGTTGTTGTTTTCTTCAGAAATTTCCTCCACATCAAGATTTCGATGTTCAACATGACTATCTAGCCGCTGCTGGCAGTCCTCAAGTACGCATACGAAAACGTGGTCAAGGTGGTACGTAATTCTTGTACATTAATGACATATAATAGAATTCCTTGTTCTAAAATATCCTTCTTTATAAATTCTTGTAAATTTTACTTTTCAGCTAATGGCTGCAATGTAAACTTCAAAGAACTATCTATCTATCTATAACATTCTCTTTTCTATTTTCAAACTTGCGTGATTTACTAGTATTACAGTTTTACGCGAGAATAGATAACGGTTTTTATTGTTTTACATTTTCTGCATTTTTCCAGGACATTTTACATACAGCCATACAGTACGACTTATTGTCGAAGATCAGACAGTTGAACGAAGAAAAATCATTTCTTCACGAGATTACCAGGTATATACAGGGCCTTCCCGAGCGACTCGCTTCAGGGGGGCGTGCCACCCCCCCCCCCCATACCCCCTCTCAAGTTTCGCCCTTGGGTTTATCCCAACCCATCCTGTCAACATTCGCTGCTGGTGGAAACCGGAGTACCTGGACCCACGACTTTCGGTAGGGCGACTTGACGGACTCTTTTCACAATAAGTGTCGTGTCACGTGTGTCCCCAGCGAGAATCGAACCCACGATATCCAGAGGCAAACTCTTCTCTTTAACATCTATTCATTGTCAGGATATTTGCTGCGCTGCCTATGATACGGCATCGTTTTGTTCCTGTACAGTATATAACTACCGTCTCTTGATATCTTCATTGAAAATATTTCTAGATGTTTTTACGACAACGTGATCCCACTCGGAGTTCGATGATAAAACGACGAACATGTTTCCTATGGCATAATCAGTATTTTCAACTCGATGTCTACTGTCAGCCTTGCAATGAAAGGTATCTTATTAGTGGTGGGGTTTTTTTTTGGGGGGGGCTAATTTCCATAAATTGTCCAACATATAAAAATTTGTCCTCGGAAATGTTTGTAACAGGGGGGGCGGATTTTCGGGCCTAAAATATTTCCTACTACTTGATATTTTTATTACACATGTCGGTTTTCTCTGATTTTTCCTGAATTTTTCTCGAAATTTGCCCAATTTTTATATATAAACTTCAAAATTTGCAATCTTATCCATTTTATTTTTTGGGGTTTTTTCCCCCTAACCCTCCCCCCCCCCCCCCCCCCCCCCCC